ATTACGTAAAATTACGTAATATTACTTAAATTTATTATATATATATATATATATATATATAGGGTGTGGGAAACTAACCACAGTCGATACTGATTTTTTTTTACTTTGACGACGTTTTTTTGTTTCGCCTTGTGGAATTTTTCGTGTTGCTTTGATTTTAGACACTGTATACTAAGCCATTTTGGGCTAAAGTGATATATACATATATACGTATACACATATACATATATACAACATTCGAAGTTAGGAAGGGTTAAAAGGAAAGATACAAAAATATACTCTTTGGCATACTTCCTGCTACCTTCTTTAACCAGGACAAATAAAGATTATAGTAATATTCATTCGTTATTTGAAGAAGTATATATCTTTGGAGCTTATTTGATAAGATTCCTTTTCATCTGAGTGTTCATTTTATACATTCAAGTATTCTCTTGTTGGATATACACACGACAGGGGTTCCGAATACCCTTCGTAATCTTCTGTTTATAGGAGTTCTCTCTTTTTGCATTTTGTGAAATATTTCTAAGGACTTTGCGCATATTATAATAACCAAGCTGTTCAGCAACAATTTTTTTTCTATTACACTTAGTCATATTTCTCGGTAGTGCTTTTCATTGTAAATTTAACTCATTTATTTCCATTTACCTATACAGAGAGTATTAATTGCCCTAAGAGTCGATACAAAAAACATTGCAAACAATCAGAAAAAAATACATACTTCCGAGCGCGTTGGTCCTTTTCTTTTTTACAAATACACTTCTTACCTTTGGCAATTTTTTTTTCCACAATCCGATTCTACTGTGCGTCGTGTAAAGTGGAAAGAGGACGGTAAAAAATACTGATATATTTTAATATCCAGTTTTACTTTCTCCATACCTATCCTATTTCCCTCCCTCTGCATTCGATAAACGTATTTCTTCATTATTCTACCTTTTTATTGTTATTATTACTGTCGTTGTTATTGATTCACACACGCGTAATAATAATAGTAATAAAAGTTCAAAAGTGCGTTTTAGGTCGTGTCATTTCCTGCCATAGATATACATATTACTAACAAAAGCATCCGATTTTGGGGAAAAGGAAGTATCAAGAGAGTATATAGTAACCCTTTTAAATTCGTTATTCCATCGGCAGTAAATTTGCATTTGTATTATTATTCTTTATGCGTGATACGATGATCGATTTGTCTGATATGCTGAATTTAGATGGCACCACTACAGAAGAGTGTGGCGACAAGGTACCTCTCAGGATGCCCAACGTGTTGAGCAGCAATCTAGCACCCATGTCCTCTTTGGAGGTTCCCGCAACGACTACGACCGCATCGATACCTGGATCGGAAAGGTCTATACACAGCAACTATAGTGCCCTAAACTCAAACCTCCATTTAAGTAACGAGAATGCCACAGGAACCGACGGGTTTGTTTTCGACTGCCTCAGTTCAATTGTTATTGATCCTTCAGGAGGCGAGAAAGATGGCTTGGCTAACTCCTTGTTGAATGACATGTCTCTGGACAAGGACCACGGCACCAGTCTCAAAGCCACTGATCCAAACCATACAAGGACGAAGTCTACCCAGTCTTGTAACGCCGACGGCTGGAGTAGCCTTGGGGGTAGTGGGCGGTCCCTCCCTCAGCCGCAGGAGCACACCGGTGCCAACGCGGCATGCGGGTCGACTAAGAGCACCCTAACGTCTGAGGTTCCCAGTCTTGCCCATCCCGTTGGTGTACCTGGGACGCATCCCGCGATGTATTTCACCCCCTCTCCGCCCGCTAATGAGCGGCAGCCGCAGCAGCTCCCGTCGTCGGAGGCGTTGTTGTACCACCCCAACGCGCCACAGACCCACGGCCAGTCGATGGGGGAGGTCCCAGGCATCTCCAGCTCGACGCGGTACCAACTCAGCGCGGCCGCCTCGACGAGCACGAACAGTGGGCTCCATGCTACGCCCGTGCCGTTCCCCGTCCCGACCGCGCCGAATGGCGTGCCGGTTTACTTCCCCTACCCAACGGAAGCGACTACGGGCCGTGTGGTGAACGACACGACGCTGACGGAACCGATGCGGCAACTCTTGCAATCGCCTCAGCACGCCTCCTACGTTCCCGTCGTTGCGATGAACCCCGCTCCAGCCCCTCAGGTTATCATGAACGACAAGGGTCAGTACCCGCAGTTCCCTTCCTCTAATGACGAGATCTTCCGCAGCAACCTGTTCGTTTGCGGTCTCCCTCCCGAAGTGCGCGATAAGGAGCTCATTGACGCCTTTGGGGCATACGGCGAGATTGAGTCCGCCAAGGTGATGCTGGACATCCACAGCGGTCAGAGTCGTGGGATCGCTTTCGTCAAGTTCAAAGATGTGAAATGTGCGGAGAATGCGCTTTTGGGGCTCAATGGTAGTGTACTGCACAACAGCACGATTACCGTACGGATCGCCAACTCCCGGGCAGCCTACATCCCAGGTACGCCTACGAACAAGACGTTTGTGCGGAACGTTCCCCTCATGATTAGCAAGGAGCGACTTACCACCTACTTCTCTCAGTTTGGCGACGTGTTGGATGTGTCGGTTCATGCTGACACGGCGCAGGGTCGGCAGAATCTCGTGGACATGGGCAACTTCGACCCGTCGATCCATGAGTCCGGTCCGGGTGAGCTGAGGTTGAACATCGTCTTTGTGACCTTCACCACCAAGGAGGCCGCGGCAGAGGCCGCCGCGCGGACCCACACGACCACCCCCTTTCCAGAGTGCAACGGCACCCCGCTGCTCGCGAAGGTCGCGGAGGATAGCGCCCGACGAATCAAGCGATTGGCTAGGCGCTACCGCCCGAATCAGGGTAACGACGCCCAACCGCTTCTGGGGGAGGCACCTGGTGTTCTCCCTCCAGAGTTGAAGGGCGGCATCCTGCAGGTGCCCGCCACTGCGCCTCTTCCTGGCATGTACCCCGCTACGCCGGCCCCAATGGCTTACCCACAGACTTACTACCCTTCGCCGGTACCACCTTACCAGTACGTCGTCCCGCCGCAGATGCGCGATCTCACGCAGCCGGTGATGGTTCCTCTAATGTACATGGCGCCGCCCGGGATCCCCAGCGGTGTCGTCGCGCCGGCGCAGGCTCCCGGGCCGTATTACCTCGTTATGGATGGTAAGGGTACCGGCCCTGTGATGATGGCTCACGCGTAGGCGCTTAGCTCATGGTATCGAGATCTCTTTGGTGAAGAGACGGCCAAACAAATCAATAGAGAATAAATCGGCACGAAAAATAGGTTCAACAGAGGAAGACCGTAGGTGGTGCATTCAACATTTGCACTGTGTGTGCTGACATAACTTTTCAAAGCTATTTATGAAGTCACCTAGGAAAGAGGAATGCAAAATCAAGTAAATAAGTTTTGAAATGTATAAATACGTGAAGAAGCTTTTTGTTTTTTAAAGGACATAAACTACGCTTCGGAAAGGAAATATGATATCTAAAAAAAAATCGAATTAAGACACTCGATCACTTTTTATTTCCTAACCTTGCACTATTGTTGCTGTGCTCATTTTATAAAGTTATTTATCCTAATGCCACTTGGTAATTTTGTATCTATTATTATTATTATTATTATTATTATCATTATCATTTTTGTGTCGTCTGAGATTATGGCTTGAAAATAAACTTTCTAAAGCAGGCCTATTTTTATTTTCATTTTGTTGCACTTTAATTTGAACTTTTTTTTATTGACTGTTTGACTCTTCTTTAAGTTTTAATCATCTATCTTTCTGATGTCACTAATTCATAACTCTTCCCAGTTCTTTTGCAACAAATAATTCACAAATATAATTAACGAATCAATAATTTTCCCATTTCTTTTTGTTGGTATTAGATCCTAGAATCTTAGGATTTTTATAGGTTCACTTAGTGTAAGGATGAGTGATGCTAAGTGTTTTTTCTTTAGTTTGTATTTCGTTTTGCATTCGAGGACCATAGTGCAGAGCTTGAGGGACGCTCCTGCTCTTTTCACATTTTTTGCTGTATTGGTAAGCCAATAAAAAAAATGCCCTTTTAGTTTTTCCCCTATGACATATACATACACGAAAATGAAATAAGTAAATCTATCCGTCCCGCTAATATTCTAGTTTTCGCATTCATTGTAAACCATCGGTGTTCCTCTTACTCTTCTTTAAGTTCCAATGAAAGATTTCATGATTAATCATAATATCATCACGAATAATATAAACGAAACCCAATCTCAAAGAAATGATATTCTACCTTCTTGGGGAGGCATTTACTGTATATCAAAACATTCAACATGTATTATTTCTATCCATACCCTTACTTCCCTATGAAACGCTAGTATTTTGTACGTGATTTGGGAAGTTTCTTTTTTGCGTATTCTTAAACGGGTTTCCCCTTTGTGTAGGAAGTTATCATTTCTCTTTTTCAATGGGTTTCCCATCTAGTGCCTTAAAAACGTGTTGGGTGAATACAACTGAGTGCACGTGAGTTTAAATGGCACTTTTTTTTGCCTTTTTCCTATTATATTCATTCTTGAGTCAAACGTGGCAATCCTTTTTTTTTTTATGAATGTGTTAATAACTCTTTTGGGGCTAATCTTGAATAAACGCATCCTTTGATAGTTATACGAGGTGATAGCGTCTTCGATACACATCAGGATCAACATTTGAGGAGAAAGTATTTACTAGAAGGAGAGATGGCAGATATATGTAAAAATAACTGCTTTTTATGGCTTTCTTCTCGAGGTTGTGTCTGCATTGTAATAACATACAAAATTTCGTCGTTTAAAAAAAAAATGTATTCTTTCTGACGTGTGCATTTTCTTTTTGAAAAATATTTACTAATTTTCCGAGAGAGAGGTATTCTCCGTTTGCTGTTGGCTTTTAATTGTCACATTTTTGTCTCAGTATTGTTGCTGTTGATTCGCATAATCTAGATATTCTTACCCGTTTTATATACATGTATTTAAACGTTTCATATTTTAATACAGATCCAACATCATGGAGAAATAACTGAAGAATCATTAATATATATACACATATATGTATATATATATGTATATGTATATATATATATATACACACACATATATATATAATTGTAGTCTGATCGCTTAATCTAAAGGAAAGCGTGAAATTGCAAAGAGTTTCCTTTTTTTTAATGCAGCCTTTCCGCTGTCTCATTTATTTCTGTTGAATTGTAGCTTCATACGCTGAAGACATATCCCTCACCCCTATCAGTGTGAGTTCAGGGTGGGGGAAGGGGTAAGCATTATGAACCCAATAAATGTTTACCCCAACAAAAAACAGCTAATTATACTCCTTCGTTGGCTAATAATATTGCTGTCTGTTTTTATTCTTGTTCGAGCAATTTATTCATTTTCATATTTAGTCATTTACTGTTCATTTATTAATCTACTACATACAAAGTTGGAATTTTCAGCCTTTTTGAGTTTCTTGTGCACATATACAAAGTCAATATGAAAAAAGGAGACATTCAAATAAATTAAATTAAAAATTGCCTGCATAAATGAGCATACTGTTCATCTTTGAAGTTATCCATGTATATTACTGATGTATTTTGGGCCGCTACATTTGGTTCTATGATCAGTCTTGCAACATAGTTAGAAACCTTTTCTTCTATTTTTCTTTATATTCTATTCCCTAAGAATTTTATTCATTTGACATCGTTAGATTTTATTTTCCTATTTTAATAGCCATATATCTACACAGACATTCATACCCTTTTGTCAATCTATCATCTGTGGTGTGCACCATTACGCAAACGCAAAAAACCCTCTCAAACTGAAGGCATTTTACTAGGCTGAATATTATTCCATCGTTTTTTATCTGCTAAGGATAGTGTGGTTTGGACACGCGGTGTTTTGTTTTTCTCAAAGGTAGCGAAATCGGAGACTCTTTCAAGAAAAATTGACGTTCTCCATATCCGTAGTATCTTGTCGTATACTGAAGTTTACCATGAGCTATTAATACTTACATCTCATCACGCATCAATCATTTAAACCAAATACATTCGTCAAGGGGCGTGACGAAGAAGCTCCTTCCTCGTACAAACTTTTACCACATACTTACATGCATTCGGCAACGACTGTGCGTCCCAAAGGAACTTCTCAACAGGATCTTTTTCTCCACGATCAGATTGATAAAAACACGAATATGGGGAACAGTGGTAGTGCCGAGCACGAACCGAACGGTGAATATGCCAAAGACGTGTCTGATCAACAACTTGGACCTTTTTCACTCCAATCTTCACCGCAGTCGGCCACTGAGACTAACAAAAAGATGTTGAACACCTCTCAGGCCCGTGCGGCGTCCTACAGGGAAATGTCTAGTGATCCTGGACGTGCCGGTAGTGCAGGTATGGGCAGCACTTCCCATCTCGGAATAGGGATGTCGAAACATCGTGTGTATTCACTTAAAGTTAGCGGTGCTAACTTCCATGATGTGTTTCTGGACAAACAACGGATACTGATGAATAAGCTCAAGTACGAATTTGTTAATAATTAGTGTGAAATCTTTCAATAAAAATGTATACTTATTGTGTGGTTGATGGATTGCATTCACTAAGCTTATGAACCATCAGCCCTTTATTTCATATCTATGTAGTCACAAGAGTGTAGTATTTTTGTGATTATACATGAGTAGTGTACTTTATTATTTTGTGAGGATTTGAAACAAAAGGTAATATTTCTGCAAGGTATGGAGGTTAAATATTGGAATTGGGCATTTAATCTTTTTCCCCCCTCCCCCTTTTTTTCATGAATCAAAAAAACCCATAGGACGGGTCTTGCGTCGTGTGAGGAAAGCTGACACTATGACATTCTCCTTTAACTTTTAATTCTGGGTGCTATGTGATTTGTTAGACTTTTCCCTGGGTTGCTGTGGGATTATACTCTTCCTTATATATTCAGGAAAACATATCGACAAGAACTCTATGCGTGTGAATAGCTTCTTTAGCCTTCTTATTTTTAATGATATGTTCGTATAGGTTATATTTCGCTTTTTTTTTCGTAACAACACCATAGTGAGGACTTTTTTATTTTTTTGAGTGTTTATATTTTGCTCTTGTGAAATTTGAGGAAAAACGCGGTTAGTGGAAGTGTAAGGTTTACTGCATCTTGCTTTTCTTCGTTTCAATCGATCCGTACTACTTTTTCATTCTTAATTGATTTACGATTTAGTTCTTTACACCATACGAGTTTTTTCTTATACTTCTATAAACACCACTACAGGTGTATATCGTTTTCCCGACGTCGTTAGATCAGTTGCGGAAAACTTTCCTCAGAGAAGAAATCAATAAGCGACCTCGGAAAACGTCAATAGGAACGCAATAGTAGAAGGGAATACACCAAGATGGTCCTTGATCATGCTCCGGTCACGGGACTTACGCTTTTATTTATGACAATTTCCACCAAGATCAATCATGAAAGGTATAAACCAGTCAATGGACACGTGCCCTTCCCGCTGGCTTTGCGCGGACTGAATCAGCCCGGGGTGTCAACATTAGCGTGTATCTTTGCGTACGCCCGACACCTGGCGGTTGAGGTGGCCCCCTTTGGCGTCCTGGGTACCTCCCTGCAGGATATCCTCCTCGCCACGAGTGTGATTGTTCAGATGCGCGTCCTCGAGCGGCGTTGGGGGCCTAGCTACTTCCTATCTTTCTTACTGTCCTCGTCCGCTATTGGCGTGGCCGCCTTACATCTTTTAGTTACCGAGAGCACGTATGGGGAGCGAATGCCTCTGGAGTCGCTGCGACTGCTTTCTGCCGGGGCCTCCCTGGTCACCTTTGCCGGGCTCGCCACGCGTTACCTCCATGAGATTCCTTTGCGCAGCGATTTCTGCATCCGCGTGCCGGGCACCAGTATGGCCTTCACCGAGAAGGCGACGTTCGTTCTCCCGCTGTTGAAGCTGATACTCGCTCCGGACGGCGAGCTCCAGTCTCCATCCCACCGCCGGCGGGCGGTGGTGGTGGATATCGGGCTCTGGACGCGCATTTTGCTCGCGCTCGTGGGGGTGCTGCTGGGGTTGATGTCCGCGCACCCGGGTTGGTTCTCCTGTTGGCTGGAACTCTTCAGCAAATGCATATGCCGCCCGATCATCAACTTTCTCCGCCCACTACTGACCTATTTGTTCGGCCCTCCGAATCTCGTGGAGCACGCCGTTCCGAGGCAGCAGCAGCGGAGCCACCGAGGCGGCGCCCCTACTGGAGGCGTCGCCATCCCTGGCATGCCGACGAGCGCCTCACCAATCCGCGAGGACGGCGGCCGCATTGCGGTGGATAATCTCAGTGGGGGAGGGGCAATAACCGAGGATGATCATTTATTGTTTTTTTTTCAAGGAAATGTTGATCATCCACTGCGGCGTAGGGGCGTGCAGGGCGGTCCGGTTTCAACTGATGCCGCCCTTTCTAGGCCTCGTTCTAGACGAGGCGGTGCGGCTTCGCCTAGTCGGTCCGTTCCACAGGAGTCCATTTCCCCTGCTTACGAAGGCTCGATAGCTTACATTCAGGAGATGGGGCTTCCACGCAGTCGGGCTGAGATTCTGGTCGCCCTGCGCGAGACTCATGGGGATGTGAACAACGCGATTGAATTGCTTTTGAGCGATATGTAGTGGGGGGAAAGGTCGGTTCGACTCTTCAACGTGAAGGAGATGAATCTTAGAAGGAATTGATTGAGTTGAAATACTCAAAACTTATGACATTGTTTCTCCGAGATGCATTAGGTTAAGTTGGTGTGGAGCTTATTTGCACATTATCGGCTCCTTTACATATTATTATAGTTGTTATTGTTTCCAATATATTTTTAGCCTTCAAGAAAAAATTCTTTCATAGGTTGTGCATTTTTATGCTAATTTATGCAAACTCTGATCGTAAATGGACAAGGAAAATGAATCAGAGTATATATATAGCGAGAGAGGGATTTTTTTTCACTTTTCACTCATAATGGTGAATTTTGTCCTTATTTACTCTTTTTTTTTTGGCCTTGCAGCAATTCCGTATTCATTTGAGGAGAACTAAAGGGCAAAGCTTTTCCATATCTCGGTGAGGTGATTTGGACCGCATTTCTTTTTTTTAGCAGCTTTTGCCTTTTGGGCATGCTGTGATATTTCTATCGAGCCTCACTGCGCTTCCCCGAACATTTCTTGTTATTATTATTGGATGGTGGATGGGTCTGGTCTATCTATTGATTAGTATACTACGTTTTTTCATGAATGCGCTTCAGTCCTCAGTGCGTGCGCTGCTTTCCATCCATCCACGTGTGATCACGAACAGGTTCTTTGCATCTTCACACGTCGGCCAGAACGAGGGTGCCTCGTCAATAGCTAATGGTCGGGATCATAGGGTTTCTGAATCACAACCAGAGTCTTCATGGGGCTCCAACGATACGATGGCGGATGCGGCGGAGCAGCTCGTAACGGAGCTACTTCGAGTACTCTCCATCGGTCTTCGAAGTGGCGCCGACGTGTGGGATGTCTTATGTACTCTGCAACATATCCCAGCCCACCTAGCGGAGTTGAAGAGCCACACCGCCGACGAAGGGGCCTCATCCCCCTCGAAGAGTTCGTTTAGCTTGAACTCGTCCCTATCGGCTTCCGCATGGTTGGGCTCGACCATTGTTGCCTCTCTCGGAGCATCCCAGGTCTTTTCTTCCGGCCCTACTGGGTCCCGACCTGAGGAGGCTGGGGAGGATCCTAATAAGGACACCCTCCAGGACGCGACGCAGCGTCTGTGCCGGCGTCTAAACTTCACCGCCCAACTCGTGCACATCATCGAGTCTACCTTCCGAAGTCAACCGAGGCTGGTACGGGCGAGGGCACTACTTCGACTGGCTCTGAACTACGGATGTTTGCTAGCATCGCTCGAGCTACTCGCGCGTTTGAACCGCGATGAGCTGAGGCCCTTGTTTAGTGAACCGGAGCGGAACGTTCTTTTTCACTGCGGGGACGCCAATCGCGATGAAGGGGGGGATCTGTGGGACGTCTTTGCTGTGATCATGGCGCCAGTGGGAGGGGTGCCACTCCGCGAGCTGGTGATTGGTGCGGCGCGCGGTTTTTCGCTCGTGCACTTTAACATGGTGCTTTTGGTGCCCGAATTGGATAATGATGCATCTGATGGATACTCTGCGGCAGAGAAGACGGCGGCGGCTCCTCCTCAAGGTCCTGCCGCCAGTTGGCCGTCAAGGGGGAAGAGTTATCCAAGTTTTTATCGGCAACTTGAAGACTACTTGAGAGGGACCACGGATCGCGCGCCCTCTGTACAGACCTTTCTTCAGGCAAAAAGGAAGCTTATGACGACGGGATATTGCCAATGGGCTAGGGATCCGAAGGGAGAAGGCGACCACCTATCGACGCACCATGCCACAGTGCAGTGGCCAAATGAAGGGATGCCAACCGAGGAGCGCCCTCTGAAAGTCAAAGTGCTTCTCTTGGAATCATCACGCAACTCGAATAGCACACGAGGACGTGGGTTGGTGGGCTCTGAAGCCACTGCCGATTCAGATGCGGTATGTGTTGATGCGGGGTGCGGTGACACCAAGGGTTCGGATGGCCTAGAGAGTGACTCCAAAGCAAGTACTCGTGGTTCTAAAAGACGACCCAAGGCGCAGAAGAGGCGATCCAAGGCTATTGGTGATACCGCCGTGGTGCCGCACCCATCGTCGACATCCTCCGACGCGGATCAGAAGCGCCGGGAGGAGGCCTATGTGCAGCAGCAGCGGCTGAACGCTACCCAGAGGCCTGGGAGGGCGTCCAACATGATCGAGGCCCTTCGTCAGATGCGGCAGCAGATCACGCGGCGGCAATTAGAGGCGGCATCGGGCATCCCGATCAGCGGCGACACCGCGGCGCAGGAGGAGGGCGAGGAGGGGAACGACGTGGGAGCGGACGCGCTTGGGTCGACCTCCCCTAGAGGCCTTTCAGCTGTGGAGGTTTCCATGGCGGACAGGGCCTCCATGTCCGCGGCAGCCGCTGCTGCTGATTCTTCTCCGGGATGTATCCCACCTTGGCGCATGGCCGCCGATGGGGCCTCCGTCGATGTGCTTCTGAATCACCTGGAAGGCATGTTAGACCAACTGGAGGAGTCTCTTGGCGTGCCAGAGGGCGACGCTGATGCCCATTAAGAGGGGTGGACTTGGCTTGGCGTGCATGTCCATTGGCTATAAGAATTGTTTCTGTGTAGGGGGGTGATATATACTTCTGCTTGCTTCAATTTTTTTCTCCTTTCATAAGAAAGGAACTCTGGATCTCGAGATCCTTTGTTTTTCACTTCTTGCTGATCCTACTAGACGCTCATTGAGATGCGGTCAAGATATGGCGTTATTGCAGACGATGAGGTTCCCGCATGCAATGTTGCTTTGAATATTTCTTTTGTATGTATTTCACACTTTTCTTTAAATTATAATCCTTCGATAGGTGATTTCGAGGACATTCACAATATAACGCAGATACCTTTTTATATATTCACGTGTGTGCTGCATTATAAACATACATTTATACATATATATTTTCTACGGTCTTTTCAAGTTGCAGGAAAGCCGAGGAAAATTGCTCTAGTCTTTTTATTTAAGCAAATCAGATATAAAGTTTAGCACTGTTTGCAATGCAGTCTCTCGAAGGGTTTGCCGAAAAGGCTAATAGCTTCTACGGAAAAAATAAAAAGGCCTGCCTAGCCGTAGGTGCCGTCGTTGGTAGCTATGCCACGGTCAAGACTGTGTGCACATTCTACCGCGCGTTCCGGCGAATGCGTGCTCGAGCCTGCTTCCGAAACCTAGAGCCAGGCATCGTGCACCTCTTTATCTACCAGCGTTGGTCGCGTGGACCGAACTTCTTTCCACAATGCGTGAAAGTCGAGACGTTCCTGCGGCTAGCAAAGATCCCCTACATCGTACACCTCATGGATGACTCGAGTCTCTCACCAGACGGTCGCTTGCCGTTTATTGTGTGTGATGGAATGCCATTGGTGGGCTGTGACTTTATTATCCAGTATCTGACCACAAGGTTTGATATTTCTATGGATGCTCACCTCACACCGCAGGAACGCTCCGCGGGGAAGATGCTTCAGAGGATGGTGGAAACGCGGATCGGCAACGGCCTCAACCGCATGATCTTCGTCGAGAACCCGCTCTGCGTGAAGAGGGTGCTTGACCAATCGAATGCGCGCCCACTCAGCGCCATCCTTTTAGCACGCGATATACGCCAAACCGTCTTGAAGGATTTGAGCCTCTCTGGATACATTAAACTTGATCACAGAAAGCATGAGGAGGAGTTTCTGGACGCCGTGCAATCCCTAGAGGTGTGTTTGCGGCAAACTCCGTTTCTCTTTGGTGTGAGGCCGACTTCGTTTGACTGCTCTACTTATGCATGGCTGCAGGTGGCACGGGAGCTAGGCCCGCATGGACTGGCGCTTTCCTTTATAGCAAACAGTGATATCATTGTCCAGTACATCGATCGCATGACGTACGAGGCTTTCCGGGGGATCGACACACTGCAAACCTCATCCAAGACGCAACGGTTTGGGGATGCAATGTAAGGTCGTTCAGAAGACAGAGATCGCAGTGGATTTTAAAAGTTTTTATTCGTCGCCGTTAGTTTTACGCCGGCTTAACCATTATAAACTTGCCTTCGTTGAAAGTGGGATTTTATTTTTTCCACTTTCTCGTGAAAGTAATTTTTTTTTATTGACACACAGCCTCGTTTATAATTAATATAAGAACCTGTTTCTATAGACAAAACATGGTAACCATTTCCCTGAATTCTTAATCATTTATATATTCAATACACGTGCCATTCACCATCTTTTAGAATCTTCTCTCTGGGCTCATTAGGTCTTATGCGAGATTACCGCCCACTTTGCCAGTCGGACTACGTCTCGGTTGATTAAAACAGATGGGAGGATAGAATAAAGCGAAGAGGTAAACAATATCAATGGAAATTCGGTTCTAAAATGTGTTCCTTCAAACTTTTCACAGCTTATATTGAATGTGTTGTGAAATTCTTTAGTTTAAACACTCCAATAAAAAGTGTACCCTTGAAACTCATTGGTACAACAAACGTTCTGAAAGAACGTCAAATGCAGAACAAGAGAATTAAATTTATTTTCACTTCTACTTCTTACCCTTTTTCTATCTGCTTCTATGCATCTTAAGCATCGGACGAAAATTTTTAAAGAAAGCAATCACCAAATACCTCTTTTTTATTTTCTGTGCTACCAAATCTTGAGATCGGCATATTATTTTTCACACAACGCTTGAAGTTCAATCCGGGTTTTCTCAATAGCAAACATAACCTGCGTAAGCACCTATACCTACATTATAACCCTCAGTTCGTTTACATTTCGTAAGATGCAGGGATCCAAAACGGAAAGCGGCTCCAATGGCTCAAAGGGAGAGAACCTTGAAAAAAATATTGAGTCTTCAGATAAACACGTGAGCTCTGAGGAAAGGAAAAAAGATGCTGACTTTGAAAAACTCAGAGTGGAGGCTGCAGAGGCAATGCGGAGGGCGGATAACGCATATAAACCCTACAGTGAGACAGACAATCTGTAAGCCATGGACTTACGGATTCAAAGGGGGACGAATATGCGTATTGCTTACCATGAACACTATTAAAGTATTTTTCTATAACGTGAAAATATTATGCCATTCGTATTTAACATCATTATTGTTATTATTATAAATAGTTTTTTTATTATTATTATCTTTTGGTCATAGCCGAGGTGATATCTGCTATGGAAAAATGAGTAATTTGACTTGTTTCCCTTGGGAGTGCATAGGGGTGACATTCTTGGTTAAATAGTTTTTTTTTTCGATTTATGCAATTATATGCACATATTATCTACACACAAAAAAAAGGGAAAACATATGTGGGTGACTATTTTGATATTACTAGGAATCTATATTTAAGCTATCCTGATAGAGAATGTTTCGTTTACTCCCTCCTTTTACAGTGTCTGTAATACTTCGCATTACACCAAATATATGTAGGTATATTTTAAAATTAGGTCAACGCAGAATAACAAACGAGTAACAAAATAGAAAAGCTTCATTGCTTAGATTTAGCGAGTGAAGAATGTCCTCTTCACGCGAGGCCCATGAATTGTGGACTGAGGATAATGCATCTTTACCAGCCACAGGTGATCTTCCCACTACAGAAATGGGAAAACCTGATTCGAATGATGACCAAGGTGAGTCTAACGGGCCTTTATTTGTTCTTGAAACCTTCTTCCCAGTTTTCGTCTCGTCATGGGAGCTGGAGACGGGGATCTGTAGTATCTGCCGTAATCAGGTGGAGGGTCCTTGCGTGAATTGCCAGTGTGATGCCGAAACGACGGCTTGGGAGTGCACTATGATGTGGGGGAAGTGCGGCCACGCCTTCCACACTCACTGTATTCAGCGGTGGCTGAAGACGAGGCAGGTCTGTCCGTTGGATAACCGTCCGTGGGTAGATAAGAAGGAATGGAATAAATCTGTATGAGTTGATGACAAGTTTTTTTCAGCTTATTATGTCCCCACAATCGTGTTTGAGTCCGCGGGTTGGTAAAAAGTAAAGCAACATGGCTTTTGTGGTCGTCCTCCGTACTTTTGTCACAACGTCTCGGTCAACGGTTTCAAGAAAATGAATGAAAAGAAGTATTATGCTTACAATTATTTAGTGGTTATTTCCAGCCCCATCATCGCGGGATAAAATGATATTCTCCTCATCTTTACCTATGCACCGGGCTCACACTGTTCATCAGTCTTTCTCGTTTCTTGTTTTGTATTTAATTGTCTTACCGTTAGAATCCGTTGCGGAAACCTTGGAGATTCACTATGACTGGTTGACTCTGCATTTCTCATCACCTTCCCCCCCCTTTTTTTTTATGCAGCCGCATAGGGTTAGTTTGAGACTTTTCTTTTTTCTTTAAAAATCCTTCCCACACTTATCAGCTTACCTTACATTTCGTAATTTTTCTTACCGTTCACAGTGTTCTCCGAATTTTCAAATCCGCTTGAGTTGGTTGAATTAACTCCGTTCCCAAACGTCCATAAAACTAAACCAAACTGTCCATCGATTTCATTGTTTATAGTTTATCTTCAAGATTATACTCTTGTATTTTTTAAAAAAAAACGGGCAGCGTGTTCCAAGTCCATCCATGCTGCGTCGTTCGCTCTGCCGTCTCGGGCTGAGCCGGGCCTACCCCATTATCGATCACACCTACGACTGCGTCGTTGTCGGCGCGGGGGGCTCCGGGCTGCGCTGCGCGATGGGCGTCGCCGCCTCGGGCTACGACGTGGCCTGCGTCTCCAAAGTCTACCCCTCCCGCTCCCACACCATCGCCGCGCAGGGCGGCATCAACGCCGCGCTCGCGAACTGCGAGGAGGATGACTGGCGCTGGCACGCCTACGACACGATCAAGGGCTCCGACTGGCTCGGCGATCAGGATGCGATCCAGTACATGTGCCAGGAGGCCGCCTCGGTGGTGTCGGAGCTGGAGAGCATGGGGCTGCCCTTCCTGCGGACCCGGGATGGGTTTATCTACCAACGCGCCTTTGGCGGGCAGTCGATTCACTATGGCGGGAAGCAGGCGCGGCGGACCTGCGCGGCGTCCGATCGCACCGGCCACGCCATGCTTCACACCCTTTACGGCCAGTCCTTTCAGTACGGCGTGAACTTCTTTAATGAGTACTACGCGCTGGACCTGATCATGGAGGATGGGTGCTGCCGTGGTCTGATCGCCATGAGCATTGACGATGGTACTATTCATCGCTTTAAGAGTAAGTACACGGTGTTATGCACGGGCGGTTATGGCCGCGTGTATTTCACCACCACCAGTGCCAAGAGCTGCACCGGCGACGGTACCGCCATGGTCGCACGGGCGGGCCTCCCTTCCGAGGATTTAGAGTTCGTGCAGTTCCACCCGACGGGAATTTACGGCCCCGGTGTGCTCATCACGGAGGGCTCGCGTGGTGAGGGCGGTTACCTCATCAACAGCGAGGGGGAGCGTTTTATGGAGCGTTACGCGCCCAAGGCGAAGGATTTAGCGAGCCGTGATGTCGTCTCACGGGCGATGACGCTAGAGATCCTCGCCGGCCGCGGCTGTGGGCCGAAGAAGGACCATGTCCTACTGCAACTCCACCACTTGGACCCGGAGACGTTGCACAAGAAGCTGCCGGGCATCTCGGAAAGTGCCCACATCTTTGCCGGTGTCGACGTCACGAAGGAGCCGATCCCGGTCGTGCCCACCGTTCACTACTCCATGGGCGGCGTGCCGACGCAATGGACTGGAGAGGTGGTGAGCCCGCGAAACGGCGACGATGACGCCATCGTACCCGGGCTGCTGGCGGCCGGCGAGTGTGCGTGTGCGAGTGTGCACGGGGCCAATCGCCTTGGCGCGAACTCGCTGCTCGACATCGTTGTATTTGGGAAGTCATGCGCGAACACCGTGATTTTCAACCTTACCAAGGAGAAACGCATACAGCCCGACCTGAGACCGGACGCCGGCGAGTCTTCCATTGCCGACCTCGATCGAATTCTACACAACAAGGGTGACATCCCCATCGCGCGAATCCGGGAACGCATGAAGGAGACAATGGCCCTGTACGCTGCAGTATTTCGCACCGAGGAGAACCTCGCGAAGGGCAAGGCCATCATTGAGGAGTGCTACCGGGACTTTAGCCACGCGCTTGTGCATGACAAGTCGCCTGTGTGGAACAGTAACCTGATCGAGGCCCTGGAGCTGAGGAATTTGCTCACGAATGCTCTGCTAACCGTTACAGGTGCGTTGGTGCGGAGGGAGAGTCGAGGTGCCCACGCACGCGACGACTACCCCGAGCGGGATGACGCTAACTGGATGAAGCACACTCTTGCGTACCTGGACGACGCAAAGGGGACCGTCCGATTAGCTTACCGTTCGGTGCACACATATCCGCTAACCAATGAAATTGACTACGTACCACCGGCCAAACGTGTTTATTGAGTGAAGGCTTTCAGAATTGTATTTATCAACTTTAGGATATTGGTAAGGTGTGTATTTTTGGCACGTACAAAAAACTAGCTGTCGATTTAGTTATAGTAGGGAAGGGAGGAACGTTGTTTTCCCGTGGTTTTAGAACGAAAAATATATTTGCTTATACATGTAATCATCTATATATATATATATATATATATACATATATTATAAGAGAGT